CGGTGTGCCGGGGGGGAGCCCAGCCCTCCTCCCCCCGCAGTGCAGCCCCCGCCTCCTCCATCGCCCCCAGCACGCCCCTGGCCCCAGCCAGAGCCCAACGGACCCCACCCCCCACTGTGACGTTGCTTCCAACGCTCCTTGCTCTCGCTCCGATTGACAAGGGCTGTCACGCATCCGTGGCCGCATCATCAGTGACGTAATTGCCCCGCCCCTTGCTCTCCCGCCAGGGTGACGGGGATTCCTCTGGCCCAGCTGTCAGGCCGGGAGTGATGAAGCCACCCAGAGACACTGAGGGCGGGGCAGGGAGTCGGAAGGAGGCGGGGCCACGAACCAATGAGAGCGCGGAGCCCAGTGACGCGCCTGCGCGCTGCCGCCTGCCCCCCTCCGGAGCGAGACACTGACCTGCCTCTCCGGACACTGGGGCGGGAGCGCGTGGACTCGCCCGGGCTCGGGCCCCAGAACGTGTCACCTGCGGGGGGCGCCTGGTCCTGGGCTCTGTTTGCAGGACGCTAGGAACGGGTCACTGGGGATCCCTGTTTTGTTCCCTCCCTCTGGGGCACCCGCACTGGGCAGACAGGACACTGGGTTGGGGGGCCTTTGTCTGACCCGGCCTGGCTGCTACTGTGTGGGAGACCCGTAAAGTCATTAATTTTGGCAGCGCTATGGACACTGAGGCTCCTTTAGAACGAGCCAGAGCAGCCTGAGCGCACGTCAGAATCAGGCCCCTGAACATGGATTCCAGCTGGAATAAGTGTTTGGCCTGAGAATTGCTTGTCAGTGGGCCTGGAGGGAGCAGATGCCAGCGAACCTCGATTTCACTGTCCATTCACAAGCTGAGGGAAAAATCTTTCCATTCATAAGAACTGAAAGTTCCACACAGGCCCAGGAAGAGCCAGGCGGCTTGAGAACTTGTTATCCTTGAAGGACTTTGACTTACTCTGTTTTGAGAGTCACATTAACAATTTGTGGTTTAATAATAAAGAATTTACTGTTTGAATCTCAGTGTCTGTCACTGAATAGTTACTGTCTGAGCCAAGTATTGCCTGCCCCTCCCCCTAGCATTTCCCACTTCTGTGAAAATCGAACATGGTAAAACTGCAAGTGAGAGCATGTAACTAGATCCATATAAATACTCAACTGTTACTTTATCTGTCAACATCAAACACAATGAATTCTGCACAAGATTCACTCTCGCTCCTTATAGGCACAGTTCTGGGAGCTGAGCAGCCCAGCCTGGTGGATTCTGGGGAACATGTGACACCCCAAAGACCCTTCACACCAGCCCAGGGGCAGGTGCCAGAGCCAGAGTGTGGGACATTTCTCATCCTCCAGTGCTGGGGTGTCTCCTGCTGGCTCTTCCCTTTCCAGGAAACAGCCTGAATCAGCTCCAGGGAGGGGAACAGCCAGTTGTTGCTGGAGGCAGGTAGAGCCTGAGCTCAGGAAATTGAAACTGATCCTCTTCCCCAGCCCAGAGTTAGCCATGGCCGCAGCGAGCACAGTGGAAAGTCTCAGAAAGGAAGTAACTTGTCCTGTCTGCCTGGAGTATTTCACGGACCCGGTGATCACAGCCTGTGGGCACAATTTCTGCCGTGCCTGCCTCAGCTGGTGCAGAGAGGGACCCAGCCCAGCTAACCGCTGTCCACAGTGCAGGGCCCCTGTGCAGCAGGGACCCCTTGGGCCCAACAGGCAGCTGGCGAACGTGGTGGAACTCGTCAAACAGCTCAGTTTGCAGGTAATGAAGGGAGCTGGCAGGGGTGGGCTGTGCAGGGAGCACCAGGCAGTGCTGAAGCTGTTCTGGGAGGAGGATCAAGACCCATCTATGTGGTCTGCAGAGAGTCCTGGGTGCACCAAGCGCACACGGTGCTGCCCATCTGGCTAATTTCCCTGACTGTTCTCTGGCCCAGTGTGACTCAGCAACTGTGACAAAAGATGTTCTCTGGCCCAGTGTGACTCAGAGGCTGTGACAAAAGATGGTCTGGCCAGGGGGCAACAGAGGCCAAATTCCAAGTCTTTAAAGACACTGGATGTGAGAAACTTCTCGGAGATGCTCAGCGGAATCCTTCTGAACCTACCCCCCTCGCCCCGGGAGAAATGAGGGCCCATTACCGCATGGGAGGGGTATGGATCAGCAGCAGGCTGTCCTCTGGGAATGTGCTGCCTTCAGACAGGAAAAGTGGAGTTACAAGCTACTGTTGTTGTTACAGATTTGATGACTAGAATTTAATGTTATTACTTGTATTTGCATCGCAGTTGCCATGTGAGATCCGGGCTCTGCACAAAACACAACCAGGGACAATCCCTGCCCTCAGCAGTTTACACTCTAGATAGACAAAAGTTGGGAAGGAAATTGAGGCACAAGGGGAGGGGGGGAAAGAGAAGAGCCAGGGCATCAG